AAATCGCACATTTTCACCATTCCGGACCCGGATCTCAGTTATGCATGGACGGATTTTGTTCAAATTTGGTACATACATTAAACATAATAGGACCTTGATGCACGTCTTTTTTTTTTTTCGGATCAAGTTCGAAATGGCCGACTGGCGGCCATTTTGTTTTAAAGAATTCAGTTCTGGATCCGTATCCAAGACATGTCTGTATTGATCAAGTTCAAACTTCACACACACATGGTACATCATGTCACAAATAGATATGTGCATTTGTTTCATGATCCGCTTAACAATAGCTGAATGATGGCCATTTTAAGGCCGAAAATGCATCAAAATCACGTATTTTCACAATTCCTGTCTTTGAGTACTTGGCACTCATTTTCTAGTCTGTTCTCAGGCTGGTATAGTATTATAGCAACAACCATCACTAAGAGTGATATTATCTCTTGGACACTTGATGATTCTTAAGATTCTTTACAGTAAGTAACAGTAATGATCTTTGAATACAGTGAATTTCATTAAGGCATGAATGTTTTTTAAACAAAATATTTCTAAATGTGTTTTAAAAATTTCAAATGACAGTTGAAAACAACCAATCATAATGTGTTAATGGATGTATGGCAGTAAATCGGTCAATGATTGATGAAACTTGCAAAGACTTGTGGGTAATAGGTGTTGCCGAATGGCTTCTATAGCCAACGAAAACTAATTCTTTTGACCTACCGTTAAATGAAGCGTGAGGATCTTCTAGGGTAAATGTTTTATAAATATTTTATAAATTTCCACAAAAGAAATTCTAAGATAATGGTATGCATTTCTGGTTATCTCACGATTTCCATGCATTCATCATTTCAAAGTACTTGAACGAATGGCATCACAGAATTCAGTGAATGCTTCGTAATGTTTGAATGCATAAACAGAAACGACTGACATTATTGTCGTATTCAAAAATGGAAAACATGTGTACCGGTATTACAAAATAGATGAACTCAAACAAGTACTCTAACAGATTCGCTCAGATGCTTTATTTCTAGGAAATGTACGTGAAAATGAAATCTTGCGTCATGTTACTTTATTTTTGGATCTTAATAACATAATGACAACAGTGTTACCTTTACCCTAAAAAACTTAGCATTCGTTGTGTTTTGTTCCAAACTAGATAATGTATGTAGGCAAGAGGTTATGGTCCACTTTATTACTTTAAAGTTATGTTGTATGCAATTCACGCTTTAATACGAACATCTGTAACTTTGTAACATTCTCACTCTGCGTCATGCATTGCATTATGGGGAAAAATCAACAGTGAAGAAATATTTGAAGACAAATACCTTAAAAAAACAAGTTTGGTAAATGTAATTGGTACGATATTAATTGTCTAAAACACAATTCCGTATTTGCTGTATTAGTAGCATATGCGCTTTAATACCTAACTTATCACCTGT